TATTTGATCGGACAATAATATAAAATACCAAGAAAAGTGTGTCAGACTGTCTCTCACAGAGTGATACTGAAATAAACAATCAGTGCAATCTGAGTTATCCACCTTTGTTACTTTTTTTTAAAATGTAAGATACAACTATCTTACATACTTCATAACATCATGGTTTTAATAATGTATCTTACATTTTAAAAAAGTAACAAAGGTGGATAACTCAGATTGCACTGATTGTTTATTTCAGTATCACTCTGTGAGAGACAGTCTGACACACTTTTCTTGGTATTTTATATTATTGTCCGATCAAATATGGTAAATAACTTCAAAGATGCGCTGTTATCAAGTGAGAATCCAAAAAGTTTCAGGGCTGTGCCGGCCCGCTGTTTATTCCCCTGTCAAAGCCACAGCGGGCTGCCATGGCTGCAAGGTTTTAACACAAGACGATACTTAAACGCCGGAGTCAGTATGAAATCAGACCATGCTCTGTAAAATGGGAAAGGAAATGGGTTATTGACAAAAAACACATAACAAACGCACACATGCTACAAAAAATGGAATTGAAATCATCATCATCCATCATCAAAAATCCAAGTAGTCCAATAAAATGTGCAAAAAACAGCTTTTGTATTAAATTTTCTTCCATACAACTCTTAAATGTCTCTACTACAGCCTGCTATTCTATTCATACAACTTGCTTTAACATTTTTCTTTTTTTCCATAAGAATTTTAATTGTGACACATTTCCAGTCATTGTCCACCACTAGACATTTCCTCCACCGCCTTATAATTAAAACCACAATTAACAGAGCCACAGTCTCCTTTTCTCTCTTTTTGAAAGTCATTTCACAGTTTCAATGCCAAAGTCCATGCCCATGTCAGGATTTTGCTGTTATACTGTATTTAAAGGCTGTGTGAACTGACTGCAAGGCTGTGGGAAGTAGGAGCAGCCTCAGTCACAAAAGGCAGACAATAGATAAATAAGGTTTTTAAAAATGTTTAATATTATGCCTGGTGTTCGTTTTATTAAACAAATGAGAGGAATTTGTGGAAATAAGAAAATTTGTGTTTTCCTGCTTTAAAGCATCACAGTCAAATGACGTTACACACACACCGGCAGCACTGGTGATTTATTTCAAAATAAGTTATCATTACAGTTAATGTCACAGTCCTCTCTTTGTTTTATGGAGAGCCATGAGTGCCAAAATGAAGTAACCAAATACACCATTACTATTAAATAAAAATGCATTCATGCATTTATTGAATGTTTTAAATGAAATTAACTGATTAAATAAATTGATTATATTTATATATAGACATATGTATTCTGTAATTACTGCCTATGTTGTTCAGTGCACTGAACAGTAAGAAAACAGCGTTTTTAAAGAAAACTGACTGTTAAATAAAGTGCATGTTGCAGGGATGAACATCAGTTAATCATACTGCGGATAATGAAGCCTCTTAAAAGTAGAGAGGTGGTCTGTATCCAGCTGTTCTGTTAGACTCTTGTCCAGGTCAGGCTCACAGGGGGGCAGGAACACATGTACTAAAATATTAATAATATGTTTCAAAATGTATTAGTCCCTTTTATCTTTAACTTTGTTTTCTGTGTCTTTTTCCTGTCAAATAAACTGCAGGTGTACAAGCGGACACATGGCCTGTTAGGTCGACGCTCACAGACCTCGTTGTCTCAGAGACCTGTCGCTGCGAGCAAAGCAGACACTC